GAGAGAGAGAGAGAGAGAGAGAGAGAGAGAGAGAGAGAGAGAGAGAAAGAGAGAGAGCATGCTGCTATTGCAGAGGAACCAGGTTCAGTTCCCAGTATCTACCCATGTGGCGATCACAATTACTTGTATTTCCAGTTCCAGGTTATCCTGCAACCTTTTCTGACCTCTTGCAGGCATATGGGCATTTATTTACACCCAGACACACACACAGTCGTAGACATAAAATACATATTTTTTGAAGTGGGGATTTGTCATATAACCACATTCCCATTAGCAATAGCATCTTGGCATCACCTAATACATAATCGAATTTCTTTCGTAGGACCCCCAAACAGTCTTTGCCAAGTTGTATTTATCAGTGAGGTTCCAGCAAGTCCATTGCTGTCGTCAGATTCTGGAAGCTTCTTTAATCCCTCTCCTGTTCCCTTGGCCCTTCTCCCATGGGCTTCAAAAACTAGTGGGAGGCACTGGCATGCGAGGTTGAAGACAGCCAGTTGAGCTTGTGTTGGCTTCCGTGAGAACTTCTTTAGGATTCCAGATGCCTCTCTCAGGTTTCTCTTGTGAGCCCTTGGTGCAGAGGTTCACGGCCCTAGGTGAGCCTGGCGGGTGGCGCGGCTCAGGGATCCGACTGTTCCTCTAACAGGTCAGGCCTTCTCCTCTGCTCTCGCTTAGCTGGAACCAGGAGATCAAAAACTCTTCGCTGTATTACAGAGTCCATGTCTCTCCATATTATAGCCCTCTGTGTTTGGGTGGCCATGGTTTCATTGTTTCACAAAGTGAACAAGACGCCCACCCTGGGGCACAGACGCAGGACAGGGCGTCTGGGTTCAAATCTTAGCCTCTCAACTTACGAGTGGTGTGAGGTCTCTTCAGGTCATTTTCCCTCTCTCTACCGCGGGTGTCACATTTTCTAAAATGGGGACGCATATGTCCAGTACTAGGATAGGCTCTGCCACATGCTAGGATATTTTTAAATTACATTTATTTATTTACATATGTGTGCGTGTGCACATGCTACAGCACAGTTCCTAGGGGTAGCCTCTCTTCTTCTAGCAAGCTGGTCCTGGGATTCCGACTTAGGTCGTCAGGGCTCGGCTACAAGCTCTTACTCCCTGAGCCGTCTGCTAGGGTCTTTGTTGAGCGTTTTCTACCTCCATTATGTCATGAATATGTTTTCTGTAAAAACAAGAATGGAAAAAACTTTTGTCTTCAGCTTGGGCAGATAACCTTTAATTTTATTCCTGTTGGAAAGCCAAATAGCATACAAGTAAATGTAAGAAGTTAAAATTTTGTAAATTTGAATAAAGGACATATCTTTTAATATTAGGAAGAATACTCTGATTGTAATCAGTTGTTTTTTTTTTTAAGTTGAAATGTCAGAATTGACAACATTTGAAGGAAAAGCATCTGAGAATGTGGCCAAAGAATCAGTCACAAGACTTTGTTTCATTTCTCTGTTCTGGGTGAATAATGTTTATTAAGCTTGCATATTTAAATGGAAATATACCAAAAAAAAAATCCATGTCTGAATGCCAACATGTTTCAGAGAACAAATGCGCGCTTGTATTAACAATCCCCTGCCTCTGCTTGGGCTCCCAGCGGCCTTTGGGGCATGGATGCTCAGCTGAGACACGAAGGCCTGGATGTGAGCGTGTAAAGAGCCATTGTCTCAGCGTCTCTGGAAGACACAGCTCTAGAGGGGTTCTGCTGAGCCCCATTTCCATGCTGTGGGCCCAGCTACAGGTGGAGAAGAGACACGCGACTTGCCTAGCCTGTAGCCACCATGGGGCGGCGAGATCCTTCGGGAAACTTGAGTCCAGAGAGGTTCTGTCACTTCTTCACGTCACCCAGGAAAGGAAAATAGGAGTTTGGTGAGCTCTCCACTTGTTCCAGTGGTCTTAGAGGCTTTCTGTATGAGTATATTAATGGACAGAGAAGATCAAAGTGCGCTGGGGACAATGGCTTATGTGTTGAGGGGACGCCTTCCCTGACAGAAACTTCACTATCTTAAGGGGGGATGCAGGAAGCATCTCTCGGGTTCATTTCGCCACAGAACACCCTGATTTATTAACCACATCTTCTTGCCCTTACTCACAGAGAGCAAACAACCCAAGAACTAAGGGAGAAAGAAATATTTACCTCAGCCGTCTTGACTTCTGCCTGAGTGAAAGTCGTTCCTTCTTCCACTGGGTTATCAGTAGCACGTGAAGATCAGGAGGGTGAGGTGAAAACTGACCAAACTCTTTCTGTGGTGGGCTGAGGCAAAAAGAGATGGGTCCTCACACACCAACAATGAGTTTCTCTTCTGGTTGCCCCAGATTTCCCTATTTCTAGGACAAAGTTAATCCATTGTTCCTCGTGAGGTCTCTTATTGATTTTTCTGTGTTATTAATATTCACCTTTGGCTGCTAGATGAACTCTAATGAAGCACACTCACATTTATTTGGGGGCTTACTTAGAAAGCTGGGGTGGGTAACCCATGCCTTGTTCTTCCCCACAGGAACGGGCATCATGCTTCCCCACAATTTTTCCCGTCCCCCTCTCTTTTTACATACTGCAAGGGGGATTAAAGGAAGCCCCCAGTTGATGTCCAGCTTGCTCCAGTGTATTAGCCAGGGCACTCAGAATCTGTGCTCTCAAAACAGCACCCCTGTATCGTCCCATCAGAACCGATGACCCCCAGTTCACTCACAAACTATGGTACATTAACAAATTCACAGGAAAAAATCAGTTTCCAATATCACAGAACGTGTCGGTGTGCTTGTGCGCATGTGCAAGCAGGTTCCGAGGTCAAAGCGGGGCGACGGGGGTCCTGCTCTGTCATTCTCTGCCATGATCTCTTAAGACATGTATCTCAGTGACCTGGAGCCAGACGGGTGGCCAGGAAACCCCACCACATCCATCAGGCACAATGCTGGGTGCTTAGCCACACCCAACTTTTTATGGAGGTGTTGGTGATTCGAACTCAAGATCCCCCCCCTTTTCACAGCAAGTGCCCTTAGACTCTGGGTCATTGCCCCTACCTTGGATTGTCATTATATGTTTAAATAAGGGAAACAATGAAGTAGACAATGTACGTAGATGGTCTCGCCAGCCGGCTGTTGGAGACCTAGATGTGACTGCTTAGCTGCTTAGGCCTTAGTTTTGTCTTGTAACCTGGGACAGTAGTAGTGACCTTTCAGGGACTTGTAGGGATTCCAGTGGTACTTCTGAGGCACCTGACCCAGGCCTCCCTAGCAAATGATGGCTGGCGTTTGTTCTTCGGTAAGGTTCCGTCTCCAGAGAAGCATTCCTTAGTTCAGTTCTACAGTTTCAGTCGTCTGCGCTTATTTCTGAAATGCACACAATTTAGAGCATCAGAATAGCCTGTCTGAGTTCGCACAGCTCCGGAATGGTTAGATTGGGTCTCAAAGCAAGTAAAACTCCCAGGCTCCGCCCCCTAAACGGCTGTACAGGAGACTGGCAGCCTTCTGTTCGCTGTGGTGTGCCCTTGTGTCTTTGAGTCATTGGTTGGGCCCTTTAAAAACAAAAAGGTGACCTATGCAGTCTCCCCTCAGATCTGGAGGCAGCAGTGCTTTTCTGCCTTCCACAGGCAGCTGGCGGAGTTTGTAATTTTTGTCTTGTCACCTCATCCAAGCATCAGTTTAAGAAAACTGATGAGAGAGGGCCAGTTTTCACAGAAAATCTGACTCTCTGGGAAAAATCCCCCAAGTCAACTCATCCATCCATCCATCTATCTATCTATCTATCTATCTATCTATCTATCTATCTATCTATCTATCTATCTATCTATCTTTGATTTCTTCTGTAGCATTGGGCCTCATGGCAAGTTTTGCGATTTCAGCGTCCGGCAAGCACTATCTGAGAGGAGCTTTAATGAAACCCGTAGCCTCTCTTTGTGCTCAAATTAATTTATCAGCGTTCCTGTCTCCTCAGAACAGAATCCCACCCACTCGGCAAACATGCAAAAAACCCAAACAGGCCAGCCCTGAACAGAGAGTTCCTTGACAAGATTCCCCCATCCATCCTGTGAAAGATTCACGCCCCATTTCCTAACCCTCAGACTACTTGAAGCCACAGTGAACAAACCCAGGCCTCTGCACCTCACCGCCTCTCTACTGGGCAACACCGACGCCGACCAAGTGCACGAAGTCAACCCTGAGTCAAGTTCCATGGTGCAATAGACAGTGCAAACAGCCCCAGCCCCTTGCCCTCCTAGTTGTCCGCTCATCTTCCCATCCCCCTAGGAAAGCTGGGGTGTTTGCATTAGGATATTTACATAGGCCCTTCTTTCCTGGAGAAAGATGGCTGCGGGTTAGAGGACGCAGCCTTGTTAATGCTTAACTCTGAATAAACAGGGCAGGTCGCGCCTGTTGTTAATACTTCCCAGTGCGCGCACCAAACAAGCCCACAAAGGTCGGAAGGCAAGCGCAGGGCTGCTGTGTTCTGTGGGATGATCTTTTTGAAATGAGACAAGAGGCAGGCCTGCATCCCGTGTCTTAAGGTCTTTGTCACCAAAACACTGCTTCTTTGCTTAGAATCCGTGGCTGATTTACGGTGTGCAGTCTCCATATGATAAAAATGGAAACCTAGAGGTAGATGTCGGTACTAAGAAACCCCAGAAGTCGCTAGGGCTTTCATCCTTCCTCAGGGAAATCAGGCAGGCAGATCAAGCAATTTAAGTAGTGTGTGCTAGGCGCCCTTACAAGGTGGTGGTTACCGCACACTGAAGATACCAGATGTGTCTGTTAAGGGCCGCGTAGCATCTGCCAAAATGGATTTTGGTACTTACAGAGCATTTCTCAGGAGCCACGTCTGAGGCTGTGTTTCTAGATAGGTCCTTAGGCTCCTAGATTGTACCCCAATGAGAAGATGAAACTGAACATCTAAGATGTGTTCAGAGTCTCTGCTGGGAGCTCTCCCATGCTGCTGGCCAGTCGAGACACAGGAACATTCACCTGAATGAGCAGACATGTAGGAGTCTACCTGTATATTCATTCATTCCTTTTTCTGTCTCTCTTTGGATGTTTACTGAGCCCACGCTATGGGTCAGGCCCCTTCCTCAGTAAAGAACTGTCAAAGAGCATTGATCCACGCAGGGAGGACAGGGAAGGAAAGACGGCTTTGCTATTTGGTAAAATAGTTATGGGTCTTTAAAGTATGCTTTCCACAGTTTTCTGAGGGACCTGGGGCGGGTTTCATACACTGCACACACACACACACACACACACACACACACACACACCCACACACACACCCCAAAGTGTGATTGAAGATCTCTTAGGATGTAGTTGGTCATAGTATTATTGAGCGTGAGAAATTTTCAAGACCAAGAAAACGTCGTCGATGCCCGAGAAGGACACTGACTGCTGAGGGGAACTGAGGACCTAAGGGAGAAATGAGATTGCTCAACAGAAAACAACAAAGACCCAGGTTGGTTAGGAAGCTGAGCTTTAGACCAACAAACAAAGAGAAAAGAAACAAATCAACCAGCCCCTCCAGTTACTATAGCTTAATCTACATTAGCAGTTTAAGCGGAGGTTTCCACTGACTTCATCGATTTTTAAATGATGCGTTTTTGCTCTTTTGCCTTATTCATTTTCAACTCCTTGTTAGTTCTTCGTTCTTACTGGGTTACTAATAATCACAGAAAGCTGAAAAAACAAAAATAAAAACCAAACGTGTGGATGTGCATGCAGCCTGAAGGGATGTGTTTTGTAGTTTGTAGTGATGTGTAAACACTACTCTCCACTGGCAGAAAGTCACAGAGAATTCATGGTGGAGTCATTCTGTTTTTAGCCTGTTTATTTACAAATAAAGTCAGAGCTAAGGAGGTGGATCAGTGGTTAAGAGTACTTATGGACTGCTCTTCCGGAGGACCTGGGTTCAATTCCTGGCACCCACATGGCAGCTGGCAACCTGTCTGTAATTCCAGTTCCAGGAGATCTGACACCCATGGCAAACATCAATGCACATGATATACATATGTACATACATACATGCATACAGGCACACACACACACACACACACACACACACAGAGAGAGAGAGAGAGAGAGAGAGAGAGAGAGAGAATATCATGGTGCTAAAATACTTGCTCTTCCAGGGAACTGTAGTTCTGTCCCCAGCACAGCCATCAGGTGATTCACAGTGGCTTCTTGCTCAGCTCCAGGGAGCCAGATGCCCTCTTTTAATCACCTTTTGAACTGGTACACACAGCACACACGCACGTGCACGCACATACACACACACACACACGTAAGTAAATAACATCATTACAATATAAGCAGCAAGAAACCATTTCTCAATTCCAAGCAGTACTATTAACAATTTTCATGGCTATGTTAATCAATGATTGAAAAAAGTTAAGTCTGGTGAGACAAATTCTTGGATATTCCTTTTCACAGAGAATTACCTGCAAGAAAGGAGTTGTGGGGAAGCTGACACGGTATTTTGATTGGTGCCTTGTTTGGAACGAGCAATTCGGGCTTAAGTCTCTGTCTCTGTAATGTGCTCTCTTCTCCGTGTTCCTTCCATGTGGAAACACTAGTATGTTAAGAAAAGCAGGGTCTTTTTTTTTCTTAACTAAGCCATTAATTTACCCCACTATTGCCACAAACTCTATTTTGTTTAGCTTATTCATTGCACTCTGAGTTCATGGACGTGCCCTCTTCTATAGTCACACATTCATTTTCGACTTTAATGTTGTTGTGCGCAGGGTTTTAATGTTTTCGTTGTGTGCTACTTCTGTGTTTAGATTTTGTGTGGTACACTTCCCTGCAGACGCTACCCAGCTGGTGGAGGAACAACCCTCAAGCTTCAGTTAGGATCAGCTTCCGTCCTCAAATTAAAATTTCAAGTTTAATTGAACTTGGGATATCTATACCCTCAACTGACTATACAAACCCCCTTCGATTTGACGGAACACCACCTGACTTAAAGAACTAGTGCTACTAATAATATTCACTTAAATTTTAATCCTTAAACTGCTATGTTTGAATGTAAATCAACAGTTCTCAATTTGTGGGTCATGACCTCCATGGGGGCGGGGTCACATAGCAGACATCTTGAATATCAGATGCTTACATTCTTATTCATAACAGTAGCAAAATTACAGTAAAGAAGGAGCAGCAAAGTAATTGTACGGTTGGGAGGGTCACCACGACATGAGGAACCGTATTAAAGGGTCATAGCGCCAGGAAGGTTGGGAAACACTGATCCCACTGGAGACAGAGAGGATAGGAAGTACGTAGACCGCCCGATTTCCTCACTTCTGGCGTGGTGAAAACCTTCACTGGAGTCTGAGAACCCGGATTTGAAGGTGGGTGTAGTCAACACAGACCATTTCCGCAACTACTGATAGTCTTCATGTTTCTCAAGCACTTGCCCTATTTCTATAATTTTTCCATTTTAAAGAGTGCAGTGAGTTACATTGCCTGTGTGGGTTTGGCATTTTCTACCCAGCTCTGTGTTCTGGAGCACATGAGTCAGGAGGTGACGCCTACTACATCTTCCTTCTTTCACTCGGCTTTTGAGAATTTTATACATCTTTATAATGTCATCGATCAACTCCATCTCCACGCCACACCCTCAACTCCTCCCATAAGGTGCACCGCTTTATAAAAGACCTACTAAGTCCACCAGTGCTACCAGGATGTGCGTGGGTCGTGCCCTGAAACGTGGGCTAAGATGAGAGGCCGTCCTACCGAAGAAAACTGGCCTTCCCTCCAGCATCTACCGACTTCCAATGGCTCTTTAGTCATCCGTGGTGGGGTTCTGGCTCACCAGGTGCAAGCCTTGTGCATGCAGTGGCCACTCTGAGTTCACACGTGTGAGCTCAGCTGTGCAGTGGCCCTGCCGTGTTCAGAGAACACTCTTTTGCAGCGGTCCTGTTTCTGTTTCCTAACAGTTTTCTGTCCCCTTATACGTATTCCTTGAGCAAACAGTTCTTGGTGACTGCGAAGGTCCACATTGTTTGGACACGTGGCTGTGTGTGACATCCCTCCGTGTTGAACAGTTGGCGGACCCATAGTTTTACACTATAACTCATGGACCAAGACTTAGCCAACATTCCTGCTTCGATTCACCACCTTCTTGTAGACTGTGTCTGTATTAGGCTTCTGGGCAGCCCTGATTTGCATTCCTCCATAGCACCCAGTCTTTTTCACTCTGCTCTCTAGTGGTGGGATGTTTATATTGAGCCAATTGACCAATGTGCCCATGGCATAGCTCTACAGTGTCCAAGATGGTGCTAAGAAGTTGAAACACTGTTAGATATCTGGTGAACCCTTTAGAAAACCAACTGGGAAAAACTTCAAAGTTGTCTTTCAGATTTGGAAAGCCAGTTTGGTGGAACATATGGGAAGGCAGTTCCAAATGATGAAACTTCTGGAATTTTGCTGGTGAGAGTGACTTTGTCCACACATGTGCAGAAGCCACATAGAAACCGGAAGTGCTCACTGGAAAGCTGGAGGTTGAATGGGAAAGAGAGGTGCCTGAGAACCATCATTAACAGCATTAGCCTAGGTTTTAACGTCAAACAAGGGTCTCTGGATTGAGAACAGAGGATGGGAAGAGCCCGGATACTCAAAGTATGCTCTTGCCTTCAAGAACCTCACTAAAGGATGGGTAAGTAAGACTGAAGTCCTATGGCATTACGCTAAGAGCTCAGAATCTCAAACTAGGCGAGCCTGGATTTGAACCAGCACAGACACCCATATGTCTGCCTGCCTTTGCTCTTGGCGTCTCGGCTACCTCTAGCCCCTGTACACCCCTTGCCATTCTCTTCATAGATGATTGTGTAGACCGTGGTGTTTCCCTTACGTATACACACAATCCTTTAGGAGGCCCTGATGGTGTGGGGTTTTGAGCAAGTTATCTGATTTCATTTAACCTCGGTTTATTATCTGCAAGACTGAACTAATACCTATAGTTACTTGGAAGAATGCATAAATCCCCTAGAATATGATTTTCAATGAGGTAGATGGACAGTTGTTCTGTAACATGAAGGCTGGCTTGCTTGTTGGGGTTTATGTCCTGCCCAGTTCCCCAAAGCCAGCAAGCCCCAAAGAAAATCACACAGAGATCTCCGTAAGTTATAAAACTGATTGGCCCATTAGCTCAGGCTACTTATTAGCTCTTGTAAGTTATATTAACCCATTATTTTTTATCTATGTTAGCCACATGGCTTGGTACCTTTCTCAGTGGGGCAGCTCACATCTTGCTTCTTCGGTGATCTGGGCAGAACTGCAGAGGGAGCTTCCTGCTTCCCAGAATACTCCTTTTCTCATCACCCCGCCTCTG